ATCTCCAATTAGCCAGCAAAAAGCTGGAAATAGAGATGTGGCTTAAGTGGTAGAGTACCAACTTTGAGTGAAAAAGCTAAGGGATAGCACCCAGGTCCTGAGTTCAAGCCCCAGTACTGGCACATAAAATAATATTTCAGGACTCAAGTAGTAGAATACCTACTGATTTTGTCTAAAAAGTTGCTAACATTGGGCTAATTGTTTCTTAATTCCATATCTTTCTGGGTTAAATTCATCTTATCTATTAACCTATCTAGTTTATAACACACTCTTGTATACTCATTTATGAGTGGCATTTGTGACTTTGTAATTGCCTTTTATTGTAATGATTTATCTGGAAAGTTAAATAGTAAATTCCTTGAGGACAATAACCATATCTTCTACTTTGCTGTTTGCCTTTGCTTTCCCCCTGTGGCTGTTATGGTACTGTGTCAAGGCTGATGCTCCTGAACAGCAGCCTGCAGGGACTCCTAATCACCACTGTTGTGTGGGAACGCACCCCTGAGACTCTGGTGTATTTCCCTCCGACAGGCAATAGAAACCAGAGTGAGTGAACCCAGCAGAGGATAATTTTACACACTTATACTTGACCACCCTCTGAACAACTCTACCTTGGTTTTTGTTTTCTTCTTTCTCACATGCTTTTCTTTTTTCTTTTTTCAAAGATAGGTTGTCCCACTGAGGGACAGCACCCAGGCCCAGAGTTCAAGCCCCACAAAAAAACAGATAGGGTCTCCCTGTGTATCTCAGGCTGACCTGGAACTTGTCATCCTCCTGCCTCAGCTTCCCAAGTGCTGGGATAGCAAGAGTGTACCACTGTGCTTGGCATTTGGCATTATTCCCTCTCTCTTTCCCTCCCCTCTCGTTAAGGTACTGGGGCTTGCACTCGGGGCTTTGTACTTGCCGGCAGGTGCTATACTACTTGGGTTATACCTCCAGCCATTTTTCCTCTGGTTATTTTCTTATTTTTTTTTGCTGGTATCAGAGTTTTCACTCAGGGCCTCATACATGCTAGCTTGTGCCCCTCCACTTGAGCCTTGCCTCCAGCCTGACTTTTGGAGATGGCTCCTCACTGACTCTTCTGCCTGCGGTAGCCCCCAATGATCATTCTCTGGATCTCAGCCTCTCTAGTAGCCATGATGATAGACATGAGCCACCAGCACCTGGCTTGCTCACTTCATCTCTTTGTTGGGGCTTTATTCTGTAGTTGTGATGACAGGCACCCAACACCACACACAGTTTTGTTTTTTTTTTTCTATTGAGATAGTCTCTCAAACGTTTTGCCTGGACCCACCAGGAACTCCCATCTGTCCTGTCAAATGACAGGTGCAGGCCATTGCACCCAGCTATTGGTTGGAATGGAATCTTTTGCCCAAGCTGGCCATGAACAGTGATCCTCTTGATCTTTGCTTCCTGAGTAGCTAAGATCACAGGTGTAGACCACTGGCACCCAGTGCATTATTCTCATTTTATAGATGCAAAAACAAACAAAAAAACCAACATTCAGAGTAATCACACAGGTAGAAAGTAGCCAAGAAAGAGTTCAGATATGCATCTGCCACCTCCAGGTCTAGAGCTCTTTCCACCTGGTCAGGACTGTTGTGCTTTGAATCACTGGAGGATAGTTGACTAACTGCAGTCCTGAAATTTGCCTGATTGTGCCTCAATTTTGGGCTTGAAGCTATAGTGATCTGGTCAAGAGGCAGAATTAGGAGAAGAAGAGTAGCTGAGTATAGAGGTTTAAGTCTAGGTAGTTCATATGTGTGGGGAATATATATTGCACATTTATAATTATACATATAAACATATGTTCTATAAGTACACTATATTTGTATTGTACTGTTAAATTCAGATTGACTACAAATACTAACATAAAGGAGGCTAGGGATATAACTCAGTAATAGAGTGCTTCTTAGAATGTGTGAGGCCCTGGGTTCAATTGCCACAAAAAGAAGTTAAAAAAAGGAAAATATTAACATAAAACATAAGAATCTATTAAGCAGGTGCTCTTGTACTTTCCTCCTTTTCAACTCATTTTTTCTAACTTTGTCTTTTATAGACAAAAATTAATTATACTATCCACAGCAATACAGTTTTCTTCTTTTCAAATTAGAACTGATTGTTGAGTAGAAGACAGGTAAGGGTGAGGAAAGAAAGTGAGTTTGCCAATAGGTCTAGGTCTCAGGTTTGAGGCAATAAGGGCACCTTGTCACTCTGTCATTGCCACTTACTGCTAAAGATGAGGTCAAGAGCTGTTCCAGACCATTGGAGCTTCCATGCAGCAAAGCACTGCTTAGTTCTCCAATGTGACTACTGGCAGAGCTTGGCAGTGATCTGGGCGGGTGGGGGTGAGGGGGCATCTAGATTTGTTTAATAAGTCTAAGAGACTGACCCCGGTTCAAAAGCCACCCTACATCAAAGAACATAGGCAATCAAGAAATGTCCCAGGCTTGGACTGAGAGAGATGCTACTACAGAAATCATGATTTTTTTTAAAGCTCCTTATCCTGTTGTCTCCTTCACAGATCTACTTTTGTGGCTCAGATCTTGAAGCCTGGTTGTCCAATGAGTATAGTTTTGGAGTACAAAAGCTCTGGGTTCAAATTTTAGGTATGGTCTAAAATCACTGCAGGCAACTTATTTTATCTCTAGAGCTTTGAGTTGTAGATTTGTTAAAATTAGAAGTCTAATTGCCAGGGATGGGGGTCAGGGGTATAGCTCAGTGCTAGAGCTTAATGTATGTGTTTAGGCCCTGGGTTCAATCCTTGGCATGCGCGTGTACGCACATACATACACAGTGCACAGTGATACAGAGGACTGTGGAGATTCTACTAATTAGATAAATCATCTAACAAAGAGCAAAGATTTAGTTCTTGTAAACCTTTATCATGGGTCTCCTCCAATGCACACCTGATTACTGCTAAGTGGTGAGCCTGGGAGAGTGAAGCCCAAGCTCCATAAATATATCTGATGCCAGCTGCATCCACACCTTATAATTCTTTTTTAACATTGATCATATCTTTACAGACATATTTGATAGGATAAGAATCATGTTCAAGGGAGGAAAGATGGCAGAACAAACAGCAAAGCTAATAGATGGATATACATTAGAACCTTGGAGAGAGAATCTTAAGGAAATGAACTTTCACTTGGAGAAAGGGAGATTCAAAATGAATTTTAAAACTATGTATATGAGATACTAAGCAGGACATTTGCCCTAACCCTTTAGACCACAAAAAAAAAAAAGAGAAGAAAACAGTTGCATTTATTATTACAGAGGGAGGGAGGAAGAATATTGGATTTAAGGACAAAGTTCTTTAAAATATTATTATTAAAAACTGGTGTTGTCAACTGCAGAAGACTAAGAGTTTTCTTGTGGGATTCTATTGAACAGTTTGCTTTCAAAGGTGTTGACCTGCTAAGTAGTTTCCCCCAGATATCTGAGGGAGGGAGTAGGGAGCAGAAGAAATGAAGAATAGTGTTTTGATGATTTTTGAACTCTGGAAAATAGTTGAAGCTCTTGGAAAGAGTTCAAGTAGCAAAAAATAAAATAAAAATTCAAATAGCATTCATCTTCTGAATTTCCTTCTGTGGGCCTCAGTTTCCTTTTCTGTAATATCACATGTTTGGATTCAGCTCTTTTTTGAGTCTCTTCCAATTCTGAAAATGTGTTCACAAAATGGATCCTGAGAATGTTAATAAGTCTATGAAAAGCTACATCTGCTCACCAGCCAGACTGTGATAAATGAGACCTGTGCAGAGAAAGGTGTTGAAGTCCTTGTTTAGGTGAGGGTTGGGGCCAGGTAACCCTGTGGGTTTGAACCCCTATTCCTCCGCCAGTAGATTAGCTATTTCACTGAACTTCAATATCCCACTCGTATTGGGGATAATAGTAGTCCATTTAGCTGTTGTGAGTTTAGGTTAAGTAATACAAGCACAACACAGAATAATTATCCTTAATAGCTTCTGGAAGTCAGGGACAGAGGGACCAACAAGATGTATTAATATTGGAAAAACAAGAATTTTAAAGGGGCTTACTTCTTAGGTTTTTATGTCTGTCTTTATTGAATTTGTAGGTATGTTGCTACAAAACCAGATCGTTTGCTGTTGTGGTGCTGATGGCTTTTGCCTTTATCACATTTGTCTCCCTCTTGTTTTGACAATATGCATCTCCACTCATTCCATGGTGCTGAATGCCCTGTTAAAATACCTGGTCTATGTCCACTTCTCTAGAGACCTGTACATGGTCTCTGTCCTTTTTTATTTATTAAAGGAGAACTACGAGAGTGATCATTTCACAGGGTTGGTACGTGTGTGGCTTTGGGTCCTTAAGCCATTTCTTGGCAAGTCCCAATGGGTAGTCTGGGCTCCTGGGAATCCTAGAGATGTCCCCATTTTTAGCTGCTCTTCTCGTCTTGGGCTCTCCGGGTCCACCTTCGTCCTAGGAAACCCCTCTCTGGCTCTTCAAGAAAGCAAAAAAGCGGCACTGTCCACTCTCAGTCTCATCCCCGACAAGCCGAGGGGTGTTCACCGGCTGGATTCAGAACCAAGCTGAGGGAAGGGCGCGTGGCCTGGGCCAGGGTGGAGCAGCAGGTTATGCGCGCCTCTGGCCTTGGGGTTTGCTTCCCCGCAGGGGACACCGTAGGCGGCCGTGCGGTCCGTCCACTGCCGCCGCCCCCCCCCCCGCCCCTCGTGTCCGGCCGCGCAGTGGGTTGCGGTCTCCGTGGGGGTGGGTGGCAGCGCCTGTCCTCGAGGTTTGCGCCTGGTGGGGCTCTCCGGAGCTGCGAGGAGCCCAGAGGCGAGGCCAGGGCGGGGTGGGGCGCGTCCGGGCGGGGAGGACAAACTCAGGCCGTGCAGGGGGCGCGGAGGGCAGCGGGCAGGCTGGCGCGAGGCGCAGGAGCGCGCGGGCCGAGGGCTGGCTAGTGTCGGGGCCGCCCGCCCGCCCGAGGGGGAGGAGGCTGCGTCGCCCTCGCTGCAGGTTCGCTGTCGAGCGCAGGAGGCAGGGACATGGGTAGGGTGCGGTCTGCGCGGGGCTGGAGCCCGGATCTCTTCTATTTCCCCTCTCACTAGACCCCAGGCTGCGCCGCAGACGGCAGCAGCTCTCGCTCCGCCCGAGCCGCCTGACCGCCGGGCCGGGGTGCTAACCGCGGGTCCCTCCAGCCCGCCGGCCCGGCCAGCCCAGCCCAGCCCGGCGGCCCGCAGCCCCGCCGCCCGCCGCCCCCCGCCGCCGCCGCGTTGCCAAAACAAACGGGCCGGCCTATTTATTGGCGGCCGGCGAGCCGGGCAGCTCAGAGTCGAGGCGCCGAGGGGGACAGCGCGCCGCCACCAGCCAGGGCCCCGGGCCCCCGCCCCGCACCTGAGTCCTGCCGGCCTTGAGCCGCGCCGCGCCGCCCATGGCGCCCCCGCCTGGAGTCCCCCGGAGCCACCTAGACGCCTGAGCCCCCGCAGCGCTCCCACCCGCCCGCCCGCCCAGCAGCCCACCCGGCGCCCTCGCCCGCCGCTCTCCCGGGCTCCCCGGCCATGTCTCCCGCCTGGCTCCGGCCCCGACTGCGGTTCTGTCTGCTCCTCCTCCTGCTGCTGCTGGTGCCCGCGGCACGGGGCTGCGGGCCGGGCCGGGTGGTGGGCAGCCGCCGGCGGCCGCCGCGCAAACTCGTGCCGCTCGCTTACAAGCAGTTCAGCCCCAACGTGCCGGAGAAGACCCTGGGCGCCAGCGGGCGCTATGAAGGCAAGATCGCGCGCAGCTCGGAGCGCTTCAAGGAGCTCACCCCCAACTACAACCCCGACATCATCTTCAAGGACGAGGAGAACACGGGTGCCGACCGCCTCATGACCCAGGTGAGCGCGATGCGCCCTTCCAGCGCGCTCCCGGAGCATCGTGCCACCTGCCCGGCCCTACCCGCCCCCTGGCACCTTTGGTCGACTGCCTGGCACGCCCCCCTGGCACCTGCCCCTCTGTCCTCTCCAAGCCCGGGTGCCTAATGAAATCAAGACGGGCCGGCCAAGGGTCCTTGTCGGGAGCGTCGGCATCCCCATCTCCATCCGGAGACTAGAGGCGGGGGGGGGGGGGGGAGAGCAGCCCGCTGCCCAGCCTCGCAGCCCAGCACGCTGGCCGCGGCCGCCCTACCCGACAGTGCTGGCAGGTCCGGTCGAACGCGGCACCCAGAGGTCCCTCGATCCGCTTGCCTCCCCCTCCCCGCCCCCCCGAGCCCCCGGGAGCCACGCGGCTCCTCCCGGCCTCACACCCCGCACGGCGGCGCCCTTTTTATTTCATAGCCATTTGGCACTCCAGAAGCGAAGGAGCTCCCCGCACGGTTCCATCGCCGCCGCGCGCGCTCCGCCCGCTGGGCCGCCCGCTCCAGGGGCGGCGTCCGGGCTGGGTCTGGGGTAAAGGAACCGCGGGGAAGAGCGGAGCGAGGAGGCGGAGGTGGCCCAGGGGACCCGCCGGGCGAGCCCACGTGTCTGTCGCGAGAGCTGAGCGGCGCGGCTGCGGTTAAAGGGTGGGGTGCCGGAGCCCTCCTGCTTTGGGACGGAACTCAGGGCATCCCGGGGGCTTGGGAGAGAGGACAGGGAGGTTTGGTTGCTAGCGATAGGGATGGCGAGGGAGTCGAGGAGCTGACTGTAGTTTCTGCGCGTTCCCGGAGTAGGACACCCCCCCCCCCCGCCCTCGCTCCGCTAGAGAGCGGGACGCGAACTTGCTGTCTTGAAATCCGGTGCGCTCTCTTTTCTCTGGGAGCTCTCTGGTCTTCACCCGCTAGCGGGCGACCAGGCTTTCTAAATCCTTTAGGACCAGCAGCGAAACCTCGGCCTTCAGCCTGCGCCCTGGCGCCGGGGCCGGCCGGCCGCTGTCGGGGCCGAAGGTTGGCTGGTGGCCGGGCCGGGCCGGGCGCCGAGGAATGCAGATAAGGATCCGGGCCACAGCCTGGGCAATCATTGACAGCGAGCGCCCGGGCTCTGCACACGAAGGAGGGGGAAGTAGGGGACAGGCGGGAGGGAAGCTCACGGGACGCACATACGTGGGCGCCTAGAAGCTGGGCGACCAGGACCAGGAAGGCGGATGGTTCCCCCCTTCACCCCCTCCCGGGCAGTGAGCGCCCCAAGCCAGGTGGTGCGTGGGGAAGAACCAGCTAGGTTGTAGCTATTGTTGGCTCCTAGAAGGCCGAGTCCAAGGGTCTGTAAGGCCCTGGGTCGGTGATAGTGGGGGTGCATTGAAACGTGGGCTGCCCACACCTGGCGGGCCCCTGCACCTTGGAGTCGGAGGGCTGGTTCCAAGCCCCCTTCTTGTACATAAAAACTCCAGCCCCGAAGCCCCTTATCCCCAGACTACTGTATGGTCCCTTGGACTCTCGACCCCCAAACACCGGGAAGCGACAACCGTCCTTCCCCCAGGACTCGGTTCTGCCCCCACCCCCCCAATTCCTGGAGATCAAAGGCTCCGCTTTCGGGTCTCTTCACAAACTGAGACAAAGCTGAGGTCGCCAACCCAGTATGCATGCAGCTTGCAGAGGAAGCCCTCCCCCTCCGTCCCCCCACGGCCCCCATCAGGCAGGCGGGGCAGTAGCCCACCAGCTTCGAGTTGTCTGCACTTTATTTGCCCCGCGGGTGCGGGAGGGCTTGTCATCAGAAGAGGGAGCAGCCACAGCTCTGTGCCATTCGAGGGATCCAGGCAGGCCTGGGATTCCCCTCCAACACACCCCGCATCCCGGGCTGCCGGGGCGCCTCTGCACCTGCCGTTCCTCCAGGCCGGGCCTTCCCCGGGACCACAGGCTTGAGGCGGCGGTGACACCTACTGGGCGCCTCGGGCCTTGCATGCCTAGCAGGACAGCCTCGGGCGACAGCACGGCCACCCAGAGGGACCGGTAGTTGGGAAAATGTACCCCATCTGTGGAGGGACCAGAGGCTCAGCTAGGGAGAGCTTCCACAGGAGGAAGGGAAGAGGGGCACTCCCGCTACCCGACAACACCGTGAGGGTGCAGTGCCCCCCCCCCCCTGCGCCCTCCAGATTTGTGGTGCCACCATGTGGCTCAGTTCCCTGGGCGCGCCTGGCTGCTAGAATAGGAGAGAGCACTTTTGAGCCCCGCTATCCAGAAGGGCAGATAAAGACCCCTCCCTGTGTCGGGGCGGGGGGAGGTGTGAGTCTGGGGCAAGCATCGGCCCCTGGCCGGCTCCTCCCCTCTCACGCGGACACATTCCTCCCCCAGCGCTGCAAGGACCGTCTGAACTCTCTGGCCATCTCCGTCATGAACCAGTGGCCCGGAGTGAAGCTGCGGGTAACCGAAGGCTGGGATGAGGACGGCCACCACTCAGAGGAGTCCTTGCACTATGAAGGCCGCGCGGTAGACATCACCACCTCAGACCGAGACCGCAATAAGTATGGACTGCTGGCGCGCTTGGCAGTGGAGGCTGGCTTCGACTGGGTGTATTACGAGTCCAAGGCCCACGTGCATTGCTCGGTCAAGTCCGGTGAGCCGCTGCCTGGGGGCTGGGCCAGGGGGCGGGGCCGCAGGGAGTGGGCAGGCAGCACAGGGCCTGCCAGGGCCCGGAAGGTGAAGATGCCCAGCAGGGGATGGAGGCAGGGACCCCGGGGAAGAGGATGTACGCGCCACTCTCGCGGGCAGCTCTTGACTGCCTGCTCTTCCCCGGTTTCCTAGTGTCAGGTCACCAGGGAAATAGGGCCTGTCCCACCACCTGGGCGCTGACCTGGCCGTCCAGAGCTTGCCACAGGACATTCATGACAAAGCAGGCTGGACAGATGAAGGAAGCCAGGCTGGCAGGCAACCTCTCCCCTTTCCAGACCCCTGGCAGAACAAAACACAATGGGGCCAGAGTGTGCTCAGACACCAGTATGCCTGATCAAGAGGGCAGAGGTTCACACAGCTGCAGGTCAGGTCTCCTGTAGGGGCGCAGGCGTCCCCCACCTCTCCCCTAGAGCACCGAAGCTGGACCTTTTGGGGCAAAGCCAGTCACCAGAGCCAAAATAAACAGAGTGGACTCAATAAAGTGGATTTTGCCAAATTGGCAGCCTTGTTGATCAGAATTGGCCGGCACTGGAGCCTTGCCTCTCTCCCACAAGTCATACCAGTATCCTCGTCGCCTACACTGAATCTTGTTCATGGATGCTTCACATGATTTCTTGTGCAGTCACCAGTCTGGCCCCTTCTGGCTTCAGGTTCAATCCTCTGTACAGCTACATGTAGTACTGCAGTGACAGACCCGGCACACGGAGCCCTGGCCTCCTTTTGCTGTAGTCCCAATCCTACCTGAGCTCATAGTGATAATTCCACAAACCCTCAGCCACAGGCCGACCCTTCTGTTCTGCACCTTCTCTGCTGCGTACTTTTGTCACATCCACACCCTTCCAACACTTGCCCAGGGCCAGCTCCCCCAACGGCCACTTGCATTCATACTGATCACCAAACCATCCTACCTGCTGATGTCACTGTGTCCTGTCCCCCCACAAGGAACCAGCACATGAATCAAACATGATAACTTTGACCTTGCCTTTAATCCACTTCTGACTACTCACGCAGCTATCTGCTTCAGGAGTCTGGGTCAGTCTCATGGAGCGGTCTTCCTCTCCCTTCCGTACACTCATACGGCCCTCTCTGTCACAGATCTTGGGGTGTCAGTCTGGAATGGCAATTTTTTTTTGAAAACATCTGAGCAAAGTGTGAAGACAGCCCATCTGGACCCCAGAGAAACTAAGATTCCCTACTCCACAAGGCTAGGATCACAAATAACAGCTCAGCTGATCCCTGGTCTCTGACTACATCCCAGTATTGCCGGGATGCAAGAGATGAGTTATCACCTAACCTTTAGGAGACCCTTTCTTCTCACCCACGGGAGCCCCAGTGTGCGCCTCTCATTGGCAAAGGGTTGAGTTAGGGCGAAGGGTAGACAATCACAATGTGACTGGGAGTGGGTTCAAGCTTGCAGGGGTTGGAATATTTTAATAGGGGATCTCTGGGAGCAAGAGGAGCTCTGACTGGGTTGGGAGGGCTTGGGAATCCAGGCCCCTCAGCAGTAACAGCTTCATGTCCCTTCTTCCCACAGAGCACTCTGCTGCTGCCAAGACAGGGGGCTGCTTCCCCGCTGGAGCCCACGTGCGCCTCGAGAGTGGGGCGCGTGTTGCCCTTTCAGCTGTGAGGCCAGGAGACCGGGTGCTGGCCATGGGGGAGGATGGGAACCCCACATTCAGTGACGTGCTCATTTTCTTGGACCGTGAGCCAGACAGGTTGAGAACTTTCCAGGTCATCGAGACCCAGAATCCTCCACGCCGTCTAGCGCTTACACCAGCCCACCTGCTCTTCACTGCTGACAATCACACAGAATCGGCAGCCCACTTCCGAGCTACATTTGCCAGCCATGTGCAACCTGGCCAGTATGTGCTGGTGGCAGGGATACCAGGCCTGCAGCCTGCCCGAGTGGCCTCTGTTTCTACACATGTGGCCCTTGGGGCTTATGCTCCGCTCACAAGGCATGGAACACTGGTGGTGGAGGATGTGGTGGCTTCTTGCTTTGCAGCTGTAGCTGACCACCACCTGGCTCAGTGGGCCTTCTGGCCCCTGCGACTCTTTCCCAGCATGGCATGGGGCAACTGGGTCCCGGTTGAGGGTGTGCACTGGTATCCTCAGCTGCTCTACCGCCTGGGGCGTCTGTTGCTAGAAGAGGGTAGTTTCCACCCACTGGGCATCTCTGGGACAGGGAGCTGAAAGGACCCCACCACTGCCTTCCTGGAACTGCTGTGCTGGATCCAAAGGCCTCCCAACAGGATCCCTGGAAGGGATCTGAGCCTCATGAGGACGCTGGTCCCAGCTTCTCCTCTGGAGTGGGGAGATGCACCATTGAGACTTGACTGGGCTCCTGTCCCCTACTCTCATCTTGGTGTAGTGATAGAGCTGCAAGCTGAGCTGTCACAAGGATGGTGGGCTTTCCTTTCCTAGAGACCTGAGACCAGCCTGCCATTGCTACTATTTTACACCCTGCCTCTCGCCATGAGGAGGGTCCATTCCATGTCTTTGGACCTCTTAATCCAGTCTTTCATGGGGCCTGGGTTTCTGACTTTACTGTTGGTAACAGACCACAGTATGAAAAGATTCTGCCCGTCGGTGGGCTTGCACCTCAGTTGATGCTGCTAGATTCCCTGGGAGCCAGCAGGGAGCTGGCTGGACTCATTGCTGCCCAGACTCCAGAAGGCCACAGCCAGCCCGTCCATCCTGAGGCCTGACCTGCCCCGCTGACCACACTCCTCCAGACCCACCCTGAGATTTTTTGCTGTCAGGGGGCAGAGTTCTCTGCCCTGGCAATGTGACCATAGTACCTGGGACTGTGAGGGAGGGGCCTGAATGTCCTCGCTATCCCTGCCCAGGCTAGGCTCCCTTTTCTGCTGACCCATGACCCCCACCCCCTCCTCCGGTCAGTCTTCCCCACCTTATTTATTGGCATGGAGGGGGAAGCTCATGGGAGAATTTTGGGAATGTTTTGGTCTTCCTTTTGTAATAAAATTATTTAAGTTGTTAGAGTTATGGAGTCCGGAATGCTGAGTGGGGTCAGTACACAGAGTTTGGAGTCACAGAAAGCTCTCTGTAGGAGTTTGGTTCCTGGCTTGGTGCCTTCTTCCAAGGACAAAGTTTTGGAGTTCCCATCCTCTATGTAGGCCCTGTCTCACCCAACAACTCTGCAAAGTCCCAAAGCCTGGGCCAGGCAGAGCCTTTGTACACAGACCCCAAAGTGTGTCCTAAATATGGCTGGACCAGAGAGAAAATTGAGTGACTAATCCAGGGTCATTTCTTGCATCTAGAACCATATCGTTGTGCCCTGCTTAAGGTGGTCTTCCTGCTTATTCCAGCCATTCTCAAGGCCTGGTTTTAGACTCTTTGCTATTGGTGGTGATCATGTGGTTTGAGAAGATTCTGTGAAATTCACAGTTGTGAATTCTGACTTCTTGGACAAGCTAGAGTACCTTAAGCTAGCAGTTGTCAAACTTCATAATTCCTAGCTACTCAGGAGGCTGAGATCTGAGGATTGTGGTTCAAAGTCAGCCCTGCCAGGAAAGTCCGGGAGACTCCTATCTCCAATAAACCACTAGAAAACCGGAAGTGGCGCTATGGCTCAAGCAGTAGAGTGCTCACCTTGAGCTGAAGAGCTGAGGGTTAGCGCCCAAGCCCAGAGTTCAAGCCCCACAACCGACAAAACAAACAAACAAACAACAAAAAAACTCATAATTACCTGGGCAGCTTCTTTAAAAGACATTTCTAACTACAGTTCCAGAATTCCACCTTAATAAATCCAGTGTAAGACCCAGACACTTATTTTTGCAAGTACCTAAATATAGCAAGATGGCCTATGAACCACATATGTTAGCTTTTCATGTGCTCTGTGCTGTCAGTGACTTTGTCACAGGGGCTATACGAGTACCATGAAGTGGCTGGAAACTAGACTTTCTGAAGGCGAGGATGCTACATCTAAGGCAAAGAGTTTGCCTGGCAGGCTAGAGGAAAGAAAACACATGGGAAGTCAAAGGTTTGCAGGCCTGGGTGAGCTAGGGGCTCACGATCAGGCCAGCACTTCAAAACCATGAGGAAGCATGTGGTTTGGCAAAAGCTGAAGTGAGAAGTAACAGGAGTCTAGTGGCAGAGCCTGGGTTCCTCCAACAAATTTGGCCTAATCCCCTGGGCCTGGGGAGCACCTGGAGGGTTTGAAGGTGGGAAGGCTCATGACCAGATGGGTTTTGAAACTTCTCTGCATACAATATGGAGGATGGACTAGAGTGGGGCAGGGGTGGGGGAATGGGGAGGCAGGAAACCCTTAACTGAGGAGAGAAGTAGGTGACCTGGATTGGGGAAGTGGCCATGGGGTCAGAAACAATTGTAGAAAATGAAGTAACAGAATGACTACAATGAAAGACAGGGTTGGATAAGTAGTAGGGGACGAGGAAGGGACCTAGGTCAATTTGGGGGTTTTGAACATAAGCCCCAACTCTCATTCCCAGTAACCTTTGTCCTTGGCCCTTTGGCCTCAGTGGCTGTACCTGCAATGATGATTCCAAGGGCTTTCCCATTTAGATATTCTATGTCCGTGTTGCTGAAGGCAGCTCCGCTTGGGTTCCAGGGACCTTGTAGGTTCCTACTTTCTTTGCCTGTGCACCATCCCCCAACTCCCACTAGGATCTTAGCCCATTTACTCCTGTAAAGACAGAATATTATAGATTGGATATTTTATAAACAAAAGACATTTATTTCTCACATTTTGCGATCTGAGCACTAGTATCAAGGTGTCAGGACCTGTTGAGAGCCTTTGTATTGCATGGTCCTAGGGTCTGAGAGCTTGTGAGAGAATAGTAAGGGGCCCAACACATTCTTTTCATTAGGAACAATCACTGATAACCAATCCACTCCCATGAAGTCAGCATTAATCCTTGCATGCAGGAAGAGCCCTCTTGATCTCATCATCGAGTCACCTGCTGCACGTCCCACCTCTCAATACTACTCATTTGGGGATTATAGTTCTGAGCTAGGAACAGTCAAACCTTAACACCTTCCCACTGGCACTGAGAAGTTTAAGGAGGAAGAAACTCAGAGTAGCCCCTGTAGCCCAGTCAAGGAAAAGTGCAAGACCTATGCTTAAGCCCACAGGTTCTGGACATGTCACCATGTCACTTGGAGCATTGGGGCCCAGGAGATAAAGTAGAGGAACTTCCTAGCTATGAGGTCCCTGGAGCTGCAGACAGACTTCAACATGGGGGTGCAGCATACTTAGGCTCCTCTGCCTATTTGTGCTGGAGCCCCTCTGCAGGTACCCACCACAAGTTGTCCTTGCAGCCTCCTCTATCTTGTTGGAAAGCACCGACTGTACTGGGAGTGAGTGACTCTCTGGGAGCTATATGGGCCTGTATCTTTCTACCCCAATGCACACACATGCTACACACTACACACAGACAAACACAGACACACACACACCATTTGATAGTGAGCAACCCCATATTGCAGCTCAAGGCAAGCACTCTACCACTTGAGACACAGCACCACTTCTGGTTTTCTGAGTGGTTTATTGGAGATAAGAGTCTCATGGACCTTCCTGCCCAGGCTGGCTTTGAACCATGATGGTAACATCTGGAGGCCTCTTGGAGAGAAAGGAAGGTAAGTGCCTTTCACTGAAAAACTTAGGGCAAGGCTTTCAAGCCTCTGAGTTACTTTGGTAAGGGTAGGTAAATGAAGCATTAGGAGTTGATGCATGGAGCAGAGGTTCAGGGCAAACTCAGGGACTGGTGGTGCTGTTGGGGTTAAAAGTGCCTGAAGGACTTGAGGGTGTGAATGTACCCCCATGGTAAGGGAAGAGCCAAGAACCTGGTGTGAAGTGCCTCAAGCAGCTTTTCAGAGAGATCAGACTCCAGCAAGTGAGACCTTTGAGGGAGAGTGCAAGCCATGCTACCCACCTGGGAGGGTGCCCCTAACAGGCTAAACCTGCCTGGCAGCAGTGGCTTCCCCACCCTATACCCTCTGGCCTCTGAGTGGCTGAACCTTCTGAGGCTTAGTCCCATGTCCCACACCCTAGCCTGCTTCTCAAAGCTTCTTTGTTCCACAGACTAAAGCTGGCCAGCCCGGATCTGATAAGGCCTCTTTGGGTAGATATCAGCTTGGCCCTGCGTACTACACCCAGCTGCCTCTCACGCACCTGTCTACCTTTGCTGGGTATAGACACAGGGGGCCTTTCTGTTCAAATGGCGGCAGGTTTGATCTCTGGACTAATCCCTCTCGGCAGCCTATTTAAGGCTCTTCTCATCTCATGGAGCAGCAGAAAAAAGTTATTAAGTCTGTTTCAGAGATGAATAAATTAAAACTCCCAAGACAGAAACTGCCTTGCTTGTGACCATTTCTTCCATACCCAGAGACTCCTACTATGAGCTGAATGTGTAAGGTTATGCTATTTACATCTTCACTTTTAGTCCTACAAGCCTGGGAAGTGAGGGTGTTCTTCATTCCTCCTTCACACAGGAAGGAACTAAGGCCCAGAGAGGTGTGCTTTTTCCCCAACATCAAATGATAACAAACTCTAGATCAGACCTAGGTCCCCTACAGCAGCAAACCAGTGCAGTAGGAAGTGACAAGTTCTCATACCAGGGGAATTGGAAGAAAACATTCCCAGCCTAAATCTAAAGGAGTTAATGGGGCCAGGAGTAGCCAGAACAAGGTTAGAGAGGTGAACCAGGAAATGTCATTTCTAGGTACCGTGAAGGACACAAGGCAGGGAATATAGTGTTTAAAATATGTTGGCAAAGCCACACGCTGGTGGCTCATACCTGTAATCCTTGCTACTTAGCAGGTCTAGATCTGAGAATTGTGGTTCAAAGCCAGCCCAGGCAGGAAAACCAGTAAGACTCTTATCTCCAACTAACCAGCAGAAAGCCAGAATAGAGCTGTGGCTCAAATGGTAGTATGCCTGACTGGAGAGAAAGCTAAGGGAGCTAAGGGAGAGTGCTTAGGCCTTAAGTTCAAGCCCCAGTACCAGTATACACACATACACACACACACACACACACACACACACACACACACACACACACACACAGAAATTTTCATGCAGTTTCTGTTAGATTCTACTCTGAGACAGAACTTGCCTATAGATAGGTGGTCTGGTACCTGTTCGGGTTCAACTCCTAGACAACAGGCAGCAGCAATTATCATCGCCGAAGTTTACCACCTGAGACTCAGCCTAGAAGCGCCTTTAGCTGGCTGTAGTCCTGATCACATCTGCTTATAACTGTGTAAGAGACACTAGGCTAGAACTGTCAAGCTTGAAATTTCTGACCCATAAAATCATAAGCAAAATTAAATGGTTGTTTGGTAACCTGACATTTTGGAGTCACTTTTTTTGCCAGTCATGGGGCTTGAACTCAGGGCCTGGGCACTGTCTCTGAGCTTTTTTTCCCCACAAGGCTAGCACTCTACCACCTGAGCCACAGCACCACTTGCAGCGTTTTCTGTTTATGCGGTACTGAGGAATTGAACCTGGGACTTGATGCCTGTTAGGCAAGCATTCTACCCCTGAGCCATTTCCCAGCATGGAGTCACAAGTAACCAGAAAGACCAGACAGGGAATGGGGACTGAGGAATCATCTCTTGAGGTTTTCCAGAGGCTGTTCACACAATTCAGATCCAAAGGCTTTCAGAAATGGATGTTTGGTGGGGCTGGAGGAGGTGTGACACCTTTCAACATCTGGAGAGATGGTATAAGAACACACCAAGAAGGAATAAACTCGGACAGATGGGGATGGAGGCAACACGGAAGACAGAATGAGAACATCTTGCCACACTTAATAGATTGACAAAACGTGCGCTTGCTCTTCTGGCAGGCTCTCCGATGATAAAGTAAACTCCTGAGCAGGCCTTGAGGTGTCTGGAAGGAAGCTCAGGGATGTGGACTAGCAGACAATAAGGAATTATAAGTGGCCAAATGGAAACAAATGCTGTTAGAGATTTTTAAATCCCAAATGTTAAGTTTGAAAAAAGTGCTCCATGCTGG